CATTTAGACAAATGAGTGAAGGGAGGGGGTCTACTACATGTCAAAGGTGTCTCCCCCATCCTCTCAATTGTTGTTCAGCCAATTTGGCACTCATCCAACCCTCAAGGGTTGACAATTTCGTGGGGTGGCCCCCACCCATGTGGGAGGTCATCCTAATTGTCCCAAAGTGTGCAATTTGCCTCGAAAGTTGTATTTTTCCGGACTGTTTTAAGTATATTTTATTTTATCGGGTCAAATAAAATATAACACTTGTTCCCAATTCTTAATGGACCTTAGAATCAATATGCATCCCTCAACTTTAATTTAGAAGTCTCCGAAATCCCTTTTCGGGCTGTTATCTGATAGATTGCCGATACTGATAATTTGGCCCCGTTTGACCAACCGGTCAACCCTATGCCATTGTCATGGCTCAACTAGGATATCCACCACCATATACACATTATCTAGTCCAAGATCAATATAATATGTGGCCCCGATAATATCGGGCGGTCCCCACTCCCGATGTGGGCCCCACGTGCATTTTACTATTCACGCGAAAAAATATAATACAAATTCACAACTTCGTAAATTCACTAAAAACTTCATAAGGTTCAATAAATTATTCGCTTAAAGGTAAATACATTTGGGGACGGTGTTACAAGTTCAGCCCCCCTTATTTGGGATTTCGTCCCCGAAATCCACGTGTCTAATCGAAAAGGAAAGGGTAGTGCTCCCTCATTGAGACCTCAGTCTCCCAGGTTTCTTCTTCGACTCGATCACTCCTCCAAAGGACCTTTACCATAGGAATCTCCTTGTTCCTTAGTTTCTTTACCTGTTGACCCACAATCTTCACCGGTTCCACCGCATATTGTAGGTCTTCACGTATCTCTACCGGTGGTTTCTCAAGGATATGAGACGGATCTCGCACGTATTTCTTGAGCATCGATACATGGAACACGTCGTGTATCTTCTCAAGTTCTGGCGTCAATTTGATACGGTAAGCCACGGCCCCTATCCTTTCAAGGATTTCAAATGGGCCAATGTATCGGGGGTTAAGTTTTCCCCTCGATACAAATCTGATGATACCTTTCCAAGGAGAAATCCTTAGAAAGACCTTATCACCGACCTCAAACTCCAATGGCCTGCGTCGTTTGTCAGCATAACTCTTTTGCCGATCTTGGGCAGCCTTGAGTCTCTCCTGAATGACCTTCACCTTAGCCTTGGTGATTTCGACAAGTTCGATCTCCTCGAGCTTGGCTTCGCCAACCTCGTCCCAACACAACGGGGTTCTACATTTCCTCCCATACAATGCCTCGTATGGAGGCATGCCAATACTCGCCTGATAACTGTTGTTATAGGCGAACTCGACCAGAGCCAAATGCTTGTCCCAACTCCCTTGGAACTCCAGAGCACATGCCCTAAGCATATCTTCCAGAATCTGTATCACCCTCTCGGATTGCCCATCCGTCTGTGGGTGAAAGGCTGTGCTAAACTTTAGCTTCGTACCCAAGGATGCTTGAAATTTTGGCCAAAATCGGGATGTGAAACGTGGGTCCCTATCCGAGACAATGGATATCGGTACTCCATGCAGTCTCACAATCTCCTCCATGTATAGCTTTGCCAATCTTTCAAGAGGATAAGTAATGTTGATAGGCAAAAAGTGTGCACTCTTGGTGAGCCTATCAACCACTACCCATACTGCATCATAGTTGTTCACTGTTCGTGGCAGCCCCACCACGAAGTCCATGGTCACGTGCTCCCACTTCCATTCTGGAATGGTAAGTGGTTGCAAAAGTCCCGCCGGGTGTTGATGCTCCACCTTGACTTGTTGGCAAGTAAGGCACCGACTCACGTACTCTGCGATGTCCCTCTTCATACCCGACCACCAGTAACTTTCCTTCAAGTCTTGGTACATTTTAGTACCTCCTGGATGCATGGCATACGCCGAAGAATGAGCCTCCTCCAGTATAGACTTTTGGAGCTCCTCATTCCTTGGTATGCATACACGGCCCTTAAACAATAAAAGACCGTCATCACGTACCCGAAAGTTCTCAACAGGTCCCTCAAGGATCTGTTCACGGATCTTCTGACATTCTTCATCAGTGGCCTGACATCTACTGATCTCACTCAACAATGTAGGCCTAACCTCGAATCTAGCAATGAGGACCCCACTTGTGGACACCTCCACTTGTGCCCTTAGTGAGCGTAGACACGTGAGTAACGTCCCCGATGTACTCTTTCTGCTCAATGCATCGGCTACTACATTGGCCTTCCCGGGATGATAGTCGATGATCAAGTCATAGTCCTTGATCAACTCCATCCATCTCCTTTGTCTCATATTCAACTCTTTTTGAGTGAATACATACTTAAAGCTTTTATGATCGGTGAAAATGTGACATGTCTCCCCATAGAGATAATGCCGCCAAATTTTCAGTGCAAACACTACCGCTCCCAACTCTAGATCATGGGTAGGGTAGTTTGCCTCGTGTTTCTTTAATTGCCTTGAAGCATAGGCAATCACCCGACCGTTTTGCATTAGAACACATCCAAGCCCTTGGATGCTAGCGTCACTGTATATGTCGTACCCTATCCCTTGTGTGGGTAGAGCGAGGACTGATGCTTCTGTAAGCCGTTTCTTTAGTTCGAGAAACCCTTTCTCACAATTGTCGTCCCATATGAACTTGGCCCCTTTCTTTGTGAGCTTTGTCAATGGAGACGCCAACACAGAAAATTTTTCAACAAACTTACGATAATATCCTGCCAAACCGAGGAAACTACGTATTTCTTTCACGTTCTTGGGTCTCTCCCAATTCATAATGGCTTCTATCTTGGCTTTATCCACCGCAATGCCCGAACCTGACACGACATGCCCGAGGAACCCGATCTCTTTGAGCCAAAACTCGCATTTAGAGAATTTGGCAAAGAGTTGTTTTTCCCTTAGCCGTTCAAGTACAAGTCTCAAATGATCTTCATGCTCCCCCTCACTCTTGGAGTATATCAAAATATCGTCAATGAATACTATCACGAATTGATCTAAGTATTCACTGAACACACGGTTCATCATGTCCATGAATGCCGCCGGGGCGTTGGTTAGCCCGAACGACATGACTAGGAACTCGAAATGACCATACCTTGTGCGGAATGCACTCTTCGGTATGTCATCTTCCTTTATTTTTAGTTGGTGGTACCCCGACCTCAAGTCAATCTTCGAAAACACCGTCGCCCCTCGGAGCTGATCAAACAAGTCATCAATTCTAGGCAAGGGATTCCTATTTTTGATTGTGACCTTGTTCAGTTGACGATAGTCAATGCACATACGAAGTGTTCCATCCTTCTTTTTCACGAAAAGGACCGGTGCTCCCCACGGAGAGTGACTCGGCCTTATGAAACCGTTATCCAATAGCTCTTGCAATTGGGTTTTCAACTCGTTAAGTTCAGCGGGTGCCATTCTGTATGGCGGTATAGAGATTGGTTTGGTGCCGGGTTCGACCTCGATCACGAACTCAATCTCCCTATCGGGTGGAAGTCCCGGCAAGTCTTTTGGGAAGACATCCGGATACTTGCACACAACTCTCACATCATTGATGTCTATCTCTTCTTTGGTTTTGTCCACCACATACGCTAGGTATGCGTGGCACCCCTTTCTCATCATATTCCTTGCCCTCACGGCGGATATGATACAACAGTTTGATTTGCCTCTATCTCCCTCGAAGCGTAAGGTCAACCCTTCACCGCCTTCGAGTTCAAGAATCTTCGTGTAGTAATCGACCCTAGCATGATGTTTCTCAAGCCAATCCATCCCGAGGATTGCATCAAACTCGATCATACTCAGTGGTACGAAATCACACGTCAAGTTCTGTCCCTCCACCTCCACCTCACACGATGGATAGTGGCTTTCTCTCTCGATATCATCCTCTAGAGGCGTGGACACCAATAGGGTTTGAGTCATCGGTACAAGTGGTCCGTTGAATCCGCTAGCGAACGCCTCACTCACAAATGATCGTTGCGCCCCGGTATCAATAAGGATCCTTGCTTCTCTCCCGTTTATCTTTAGTGTTCCTACATTCATAAGTAATGTAAGACACACTATCCAATAAATAGGTTCGTTTCTTAAGTCGTAGAGTATGTTGGTTGTGTTTCGGGTGGGGTCCGTTCAATACCCTCCCAAAATTTCCCGGTTTCTAACCTTTAGGACCGTTTTAGGATCAATCCGGGTGAAAGCCGGCCGCTTTTCACGAAAGCCGACCGGTTTTCGACTGCGAGAAAAATTCTAAGTTTTTAATCACGAAAGCCGGGCGGCTTTTACGAAAGCCGGGCGGCTTTTACGGAAGCCGGGCGGTTTTCGTCGCCGTAGATTTTATTCAGGGAATGGTTTCGAAGCCGGCCGGTTTATACGAAACCCGGCCGGGTTTCAGCAGCGCATTAATTCCTAGGCCCGACGAAAGCCGGGCGGCTTTCGCCAAAGCCGGGCGGCTTTCAGCTGCGAGAAAATTCCCAGGTCAGGCCTTTATGAAAGTCGGCCGGTCTTTACAAAAGCCGGCCGATTTTTGGTTGCGAGAATTTTCCTGATTAAATGATGACGAAAGCCGGGCGGCTTTTGGTGGAAACCGGCCGGCATTCGTCGCCGCAGCATTTTCTCAATATTTCAAGACGAAAGCCGGGCGGCTTTCGTCAAATGCCGGGCGGCATTCGCCCAGGGCGGGGTTTTTTCCTCCCCTTTTCCCCACAATCCCGACCAAACCGTCGGGGTTACAAATTTTGCACCTTACAAACACTCCTATTGCATACAATGGAGTAATATCGTGAGTTTAAGATCTTACCCGCCACGGAGTCTGGGTTAGCACGTGCGTCCGCCTCCGTCATCGCATAAACTCTAGCTTGAGTTCTTCCTTGATTCACGGACGGCGCATTGCTCGTGCTTGCTCCCCCTGGCCCACACCGGCATGAGATGCTCCGGCCCGGTTCCTACTTGCCGTGGTAGCGCCGCTTGGTCCTGACCCCCGGTTCCCACCAAGTTGAGGAGAACAAGCTTTTAGTGTTGTCAAAGTCAAAAGTGAAGATGACTCAATTTCAAAACAAGTTGGGGAGTGCGAGCAAGCTACTACCTCCAAGGCTATGCCATCACAAACTAGGGTAAGATTTAGTTTAATTTAAGGGTCTATCAATATGATGAGTACTTTTATGACATTGGTGTTCATATATATATATATAACAAAACAGGATGTGGCAAATGAAGTTAATGTTGAAACTAGAAACGACAATGAGAGTGAAGCAAACAATGTGGATCCTATTGACCTGACGAAGGACACTGCTGACCCCAATGAGTCAGAACTTTCAAGAGGCAAAAGGCCAGCTAAAGATGATGAAGCACTCAAGGTTTTGGCAAAAAACCGCAAGGCAGTTCGTGTGAAGCTTGAGAAGGTTTAGCATAGTTACTAAGATTTCCTGAGGTCAATCTGATGGTGTCATGTGCCACAGATTACCTCAGAAGTTTGTGTCTAGATTTCATTACGACCCTTCAAGTTGTTTTGTGTTTAATTTCCCTAAGCATGTGTTTACAAACACAGCATGTGTAGTTTTTAATGTTTAATTCCCTAAATTCCATCTATTGTAAATATTGGTTGGACAACTAAGATTGGTATTTCAGTTCCCTAAATTTATGTTTCCCTTAAAGTTATTGTTTGTGAAATACAAGTGTTTCTATTGTTAAATTTAAAAAACAGCATTTTTGGTTATGGCCTTTTTCTGGAGCTACAAGAACTACATCATTTGTAAAAACAACAATAAAACAATAACTTAAACTTGCGCGCACATCGTTTGAAGAAAAATAAGGGTAATTGTTCTATGAAAAGTATGCATTTCTACAAAATAAAAAGTAATTATTGAAGAGATTTAAACAAAAAAAATATTAAAAAATTATAAAATAAAGTGGAGAATCATACCTTGGTAGCCTGCAGTTATTGGATATTGGAACCTTCATTCTCCTATAAACTAAGTAATTATGAATATTACAACAAAGGGCACCATATACAGGTCCCATAACCTATTAAATTACAATTTGTCTACAACAATTATCGAAAAAAAATGAACGACGTGGGCCTGCAAAAAAAAACAAAGTTAAATTTTGTTACACGATTTAATTAAAAATGGGGCAGTTGTTAATTAAAAATGGGGCAGCATGATTTAGAAGTTGTTGTTAAAGAGTAGTGGGCAGTTAATTTTGAAAGTAGTGGGCCAATTATGATCTAGGAATGTCAGAAATATCAGCAATATAGAATATACCATGTACCCACGTATTAATTATTTAACCAAATTAAACAGTGCATGCATCAAGATATCAGAGTGTAGCGTGAGAAGCATGGTTGTTAGCAATGAAAAAGCTTACACATAGTTGTACCATTCTACCAGGAAACAAGGTTATTCAGAAAAAAAGGAGCAATGCTAACATTCAAGGTATGTTTTAATAACTAATTTGCTATCTTCATATATATTTGTTTCCAATTATCAATGTTAGACATATAGAGTATTCAGGTTTTGTTCATCAAGGAGGTAGACGCTAACAATATTCTGAAATTCATACAAAAATGCTACAAGTAGCTTTTATTTGCTTTAAAAACATTGGGGTATGTACTTGAATCCAAATCCTATTCAAAATATTGATTTGTAAGTGCAAACGTATGAATTGTTTAAGAGAACTCAATGTTACAAATGGTTTGGAAAGCTTTTGAAGCATTGGGATTCATTTTTTTTTACATGAAGTAGGTAGTTAGCAGACATTCTAAACAGAGGCATCTATGTTACACATCCACATTTTTGCTTACTCAGTGTCACAATCATTTTGAAGCAAAAAAATAATCATAAAAAATAAACAAAAATATAAAGCATTACAGAAAATTCTTACTCATGTTTCACCCTCAGATTCCTCGGAATTGTCTTCAGATTCAAGTATCATTTTCCTCCGCTTCAGCTTCATGCGAAATAAATGTAGGAAATATCACAAGGTAAATCAAATAAGAAATTAAACACACATTATAATTACCCGTTTAAATGTTTGAGGACAAGTAGGAGTAATAACTGTTTTAGAGATGAAGGATTTTGTTTTCTATTTAACAGTGTGTAGCACTTCTAAACTAGATTGTACTCATTAATTGGAGAAACTATTTCAAATATTGATGTTAAATCCATTTATATAGCTTAATTTTGTGTAACAAATGTCATTAAAATGTAAAGAAAAAGAACTTAGGAAATACAGACAACAAAACTAAGAAAAGTATGCCTATGAAAACCAAGTATCAACAAAAGAAAAAGAATGCAGAAATATAAATCATTAATACTTAACAAAGAACAAGTCATTGAAAATAAAATTGTTTATTTACAGATTATTATATTATAAAAAGGATAATAAATTACAGTCAAAAAATTACTTTAAAATGCAGGGCAGAACACACATATAAAAAAGTTTAGAAAAAAACATAACATTCAAACACTAGATCTATTGTTTTGAGTGTGTTTGAGGAATACTCCAGTTATGTGAACATGGAATACTCTTATAAAAACTATATTATGATTTGCAATCTGAACGTCACACAGTCATTTTAAATCAAAAAAAAATTGTAAGAAATAAACAAAAATATAAAGCATTACATAAATTGCTTACTTATGTAAACCCTCAGATTCCTCGGAATGGTCTTCAGATTCAAGTATCCCTTTTCCTCCACTTCAGCTTCATGCGAAACAAATGGAGGAAATATCACAAGGTAAAATAAATATTAGAAAATGCAATAGGACAAAACTGTCATCAGTTATGATGCGAAAAATCAAATATCAAAGAAGTAATTAAACACACATTATAATTACCCGTTTAAATGTTTGAGGAAAAGTAGCAGTACTATATAGTAGAGATGAAGGATGTTGTTTTAAATTTAACAGTGTCTATCACCTCTAAAGAGGATTGTACTATTTAATTGGAGATAATACATCAAATATTGATGTTAAAATCCACTTATATAGTTTATTTTTGTCTAACAAATGTCATTAAAATGTGAAGAAAAAGAACTTTACAAATACAGACAACAAAACTAAGAAAAGAAAGCCAATGAAAACCATGTATCAACAAAAGAAAAAATATTTCAAAAGTATAAACCATGAATAGTTAACAAAGAACAAGTCATTGAAAATAAAAATGTTTATTTACAGATTATATTATAAAAAGTATAATAAATTATCAACAAAACATTACACTAAAATAAATTATCAACGAAAATTACACTAAAATGCAGGACAGACCACACAACTCAAAACAATTTAGAAAACAATATAACATTCAAATGCCAAATCTATTGTTGTGAGTGTGTGAGGAATACTTCAGTTATGCCATCAATAATAAACAATAACAATACAAATCTTCATTGCATTAACAAAAGTGTTAATAGGAAAATTGTAGTGTAATTCTAACATGACTTACTTTCATCAAAGAATAATTTCGGTCCTTTCCTTTTTGACGAGCTGCCTCCATAAAACTCACCGATGTATATATATAAAAGAATAAGCATCAATAGTTATCAAAGAATGAAAAATTGATGTTATTGTCAAAAAATTTGAAACAATAATTATGTGGGCTAACCATCTAACAACGACGGGCGTCCACAGATCTGAGCTTTGTGCCTTTGTTAAGCTGCTCCGGTCCCCACCAGTCACCAAAATGGAGTTGTGTTCATAAAACATAAAACAGTTAAGATAAATAAGCCTATTAAAAACAAGCATCAACAAAAGATAAAACAATTGAAGTTATAATCATTATATCATAAAATGGGAAAATAAATTACAAACTGTCTTCATTAGTTACTCACGTGATACCCGTTCGGTAGCAAGTGTATGTAAGTGCGGGAACAGTTATTTATCTATGATTGCATTTTTACGTCTTCAATGCCTTTTTTCATTGCCTTTTTGACAAGCTGCCTCCATAAAACTATCCTATGTATATATATAAAAGAATAAGCATCAATAGTTATCAAAGAATGAGTTATTGAGGTTATTGTGAAATACTTAAAAACAAAAATTAAGTTGCCTAACCATCAATGGTTACTGAAGGCACTTGATCATTTTGTGTTATCATACTTCCATACACTGTCCATGCCCAAGTACCTAACCATACACACATATTGTTACTGTATTTGCTAATAAAAGCTTTGTGTTACAGAAATGCTGTTAAATATAGAGAAGATGATATTCAACAAAGTGCATAAGCTCAACACTAAGTCAAATTGGGTGCAGAAATAATGAAAACACAGGGTTATAATACAAGATCTAATGATGCATCAAATTCATAGAGAATTGATAAAAATGGAGAACGGTTTGAAGTAATGCAGCTCAATTGTAAAAGTATCAGTATGGAGTATAACAAAAATAACAACTTATGCGAACATATCAATTCAAAAAATAACTAATAATGATATACTAAATGTCTAAATCACAATGGGATCACAAAAGATGTAAAAAATAGTTATACAATACATTATCTAAAGCAATGAAATTAAGTTCAAAGTTTGAAAAGTTGTTAAGTATTTGCAGGAAAACTGATTTTTCAATTGTACACACCATATCTGTTTTAATTCCTTTCTTAGCTTTGTCCAACCAAGTTCTCCATTTACTACTTTTTCAATAGATCAGAGTATATGATATATAATTACGGGTTTGTGTGGAGTGGTGTGGTACTCTTGGAACGGGCAGAAATCTTCACCAGAACTATGTTAGTGTGTGTGAGGATTACTACAACATAACTCATCAAATATAAACAATACCAAAATAAATCTTCAAATAATTAACAATGAATAAATAATTGGAAAATTAGCAGTCAATGGTAACCGGACTTACTAGATTATAAAATCGACTGTAACCGGTGAATCTGACAGCTCTAAGCCTTCGTTTACCGGATGCCTCCACGACACTCACCAAAATTCAGTTCATATGAATCATCCATATACATAACACAATCAAACAAACAATAATCAAATTAACAATTAAATTATCAGTAAACTATATGTGTTTCACCAACATGTATGAAACTAAAATGGAAGAGATGTGGAACCTGGAACCACATAGTGTGGCCGAGACATGTATATATGCGGTAATTTCGGTCGGAAACGGAGGATGTGAAGGATATGGTTCATAAAGCACACTGACCTGCGGAAAAACCTCTTGTGTATTGACGATACATTTCAGAAGGATGTGCGTGTTGATGGTGATTCATGTTAGGATGGATGATACTGCGTCGGTGAGTTGAGTGAGGAACTGAGCATATTCTGGAGAGTTGTGAGGTCGGTGTGGTGGAGTCTTCCGCTGTTGTGAAGTGAGGTGATAGTGAAGTGAGGTCGGTGCGGTGGGGTGCTGTGAGAGTTCAGTGAGGTGAGTGATGATATATTATATACTCAAAAAACCCTAATCCAAAAATGTAAATGGGCTGATTTGTTATGGGCTCTGAATTTTTTGTTTGATTCGAAATGTGAAGTCCTAGAACACACTGGGCACTTGGCACTATTTTTAATTAAACCATTGGGCTCTCAATGAATTTTTCAACTACAAAAATTATTTATAGAAGTATTCTAATCAACTACAAAAATTAAAAAAAAGACAAGTTTAGCATTATAACTCTCATATATAGAATTGTCTCAAAAAATGTATTCATAT